ACATTTTGACCACATATTTTCAGCTCATATTTCACCCCAAAATCAAATGAAATAAATTTTATTTGGCATAAAAAACATTAAGCCTTTTTTTTACACAAATATTTTATTTCATCATTCATTTATTTGTTTATTTCGCATTTTTTAACATATTTTTTATGTCAATTAAGCACATTTTGACTGCTAATTTGTAATACTTATAATGTGAAAAATGTCATTTATTTTTGATTTTGAGGTGAAATATGAGCTGCATGTGTTCTTGACATGTGTTCTTATTATCGGATTAATCACAATAACATGTCCAGATCATTACACATGCATTAACTGAATATTATCTCTCTCTCTCTCTCTCTCTCTCTCTCTATATATATATATATATAAACACACACACACACACACACACACAATAAATAAAAACACATTTTCCAAATTAAATTATCCTAAAAATTCAAATTCCAAAAATTAAGCCTGTTTCAGGACTTTTTTTTTTTTTTTTTTGCATAATTCTTATTATTCTTATTATGACAGTTAAGCACATTTAGACCAGAAATGTTATCATTTTGACATATGCATAAAACTGGCCTAGTTGCACACAGTTGTCTTTTCTAGGCTTACCAAGTCCCCTTTTCTGAAACTTTGCATTTTGTTGAACATTTTTTTATTATTAAATCATTTTATTCCCCACTAAAAGTCAAACTCATTTGTGGGGATAAACGTCAAGAAATGACAAATACACGTGCAGTTCATATTTCATTCCAAAATCAAAAGAAATGCATAATATTTTGCATAAAGTGAAGCCTATTAATATTTTTCCGACAATTGAGGACACTTTGACCAGAAATTTTAATTACAGTAATGTGAGTTTATGTATGTATGTATATATATATATATATTTTTTTTTTTTGAAAGCATATATGTTTTTTGTGATTAATCCGATGATGAATCTGGCCTAGTTGCACACAGTTTTCTTGGGTTACCAAGTCCTCTTTTCTGAAACTTTTCATTTTGCTGAACATAAAACAAAAAATAATAAAAAAGGCATGAAAAGAAAAAAGCAAAGCTCTTATAAAAGATAGAAACTGAAACTCTTTTCTTGTCAAATCCGCCCACGTTTCCTGAGTGCGCTCTCGCTCTTTCTCTCTCTCTCTCTCTCTCTCTCTCTCTCTCTCTCTCTCTTCTAACAAAAGACCAGTCAGAGAGAAAGGTAGAGGAAAAAGACTTCCTAACCTCCCCTGTTAAAGAAGACCAGACCAGTTACACATGTGGTCTGTTAGCTAAAAATGTTGACATGGAAACCATAGCACATACGTTACATGTGTGACATCAAAGGAGGAGAAAATGACAAGAAACAGAGAGAGAAAGCTCTTGTCAGTGTCTGTTCAGCGCACGTTGCACCGCAAAAGCTTCAACCACAGAAGTGGAAAGTTTCCATGTCGCAGGTCATAAACTGTTTGACTGTTCAGTCCTGATGTCCACCACAACGTCAAACATACTGTAAAAGCGTTTATTTTCAATGCTTAGTTTTTAGTTAATGTACTTTGTCAGCATACAGCTCGTTTTCAACAAAAAATGTTTGTCTTCACAAATTTCAACGCTTAGTAAGTTTATCGGTAACACTTAAAAGTCTGTATGTTCATAATGTATGTTGTAATTCATTATAACTTTTCATAAATAATTGTAACCAGAGTTAAAATGCATTATAATAGTTGCAGGTTTGTTTGTCATCTTTTAATGCATTATACTTTATAAAGGTGTAACAATGAGAGTATACACTGCATTATAAGTTGCATTACAAGGCTTAATTAATGCATTAAAACTACATTTATAATGCATGATATATAAAGGCTTTAAGTACAGTGTTACCATTTTATCCTCTAAAATGCATCACCAATTCACCTTGCTTTTTAATCACCTGTCAAACAGAGACTCTTTCCACCATGCAATCAATCCAAGATGGACATTTTCTCCTCATGTTCAAGGAAAATGACTTTTCAATGCATGATTTTGGTGTTTTGGCAAATCTAGAGGAGCAACATTTCAGATTTCTGGAGTATAAAATCTCATTGCTGTCAATTGTCCCTTATTGTCTCCCTTATGATTTTCATTCTTATGGGTCGTTGTTAGGATTAAACTTACGGCTTCCTTCCTGGTGCTTTTTGCAATGAAATATCAAGGTTTTGCTTGCTTTATTGTAATACATGCAAACAATAACACGCAGAAGATTGCTCAATGAAACTGCATCTTTCTATCGCCATCACCGTATGTTTCATTAAGATTATATGACTGAGATATTGTGTGTCACAGCACGGAATGACGTTTCTGGTTTCCAATTGTTCAATAATGATCTATCTGCCAATTCAACACTGGCAGAAACACCCGCTGCAATATGAATAAAACATAAACGCGGGGCAGCCAGGCAGTTTTACTGTATAGCTTTGCTTGTCAACTGCTTCTGAGAAAATAAAAAAACCCAGCATACTACGAGAAATGTTATAAATGGGTCTATACTTTCAAAAGCAACCACAAAAACCAAGAGATTTCAGGTCAGAGTCCACTTAAAGCACACCATATGGATGTTGTACCGCGGTAAAAGCACATGAAGAGACATTTAGCATTGATGTTCCCTGCTGTGTAAGACTGACTCATATGTGTTATACCGTACTGTTGTTACAATATTTATTTCATAACAGACCATGCAAAGTATATCATGTTTTCAAATTAAGTAATAAGGCACATGAGGTTGTGCTTAAGCAAAAATGGTCAAATATATGTACATATAAACACATATATATACATGCACATATATATTTGCATTTTTTGCATAATTTGTTTGACAATTGAGCACATTTTGACCACAAATGTATAATTTATAATGAAAAAATGTAACGTAATGTAAAAAGTATTTTGTTTTTTATTATTTAAAAAAAAAATTTTATTATATAAATTTTTATTGTATTTTTGTATTGTTTGCATTGTTTTATTGTATTTTTGTTGTGTTATCAAGTTCTGTTTTTGGAATATTTTCATTTTATTGAATCATTTTATTCCCCACTGAAAGGACACACACATTGAGGACATGGTTGATTTTAACACCTAGTGTACATTTAAAAAAAAATCCCAACCACAAACATCTCATTTAACGTTTTATTACGGACAAAATGAAACAAAAAGGCATAGTGACACAAAATGACCTGGCTGGCAAGGAAAGAAAAAAACCAGCATTCAAAAAGTAAAAATAAAAAATAAAAGCAATTGTCATCATCATCATAATAAAAACAAAAAACAACAGAATTCAAATATTGTAGTTATAAGCAAAATTGATCTCATTTTGTTCATAAATAGAAACCTGTTAAACATTATTAAATATTAACTAATGGGCAACTTGCTGATAACAATTTTCAAATAATTATCATTGCTGACTTTACAAATAAAATAACTACAATTGGCAGGTTTGTACACAAATTAAATGTCTTAGAAGTTATTCTTTTTATTTAACTAAAAATAGTATGCTACAGTAGAAAAAAAGATTAAAATAAAACGTTTGACTAAATGATTTTATTTTTTCCCACAAAACTCAAAGATGAGATCAACACAATAGAACATCTAGCAAAAGCTACTAGAAAACTAGACCCACTGTTGTTTTACTGTGTGCTGTATTATCTCACATTGAGAACATTATAGTTCACCTTTACATGTCATATTGGTGGATTCAACGTCAGTCAAGACCAGGCAAAAGAAACAACCCGGGTTTCAATAGAACTACTGCTTCAGGCTTGAAACAAACTCTATGCAAGTACACAAACATGAAATGCGGTGCATCATCTGTGTTGTCACAAGTGGCGACATTAACATAAACTGAAGAGAATCTTGCTGAATCATAAGGTTTAATGGCACAAACATTTGGAAACTGCACTTGCGATGTGTCGGCTAAGTGTTCACGTCTGCGTACTTGTGTAAAGTATGTTTCTGGCCTTTGACCTGAAACTGGAACATCTACGCTTCTATACGTCGCATGTAGAACCTGAGAGTAAATCGACAAAGCTGATCAAATCACCTCACGAGTTTGGCTGTGAACATGCTTCGTAAAACCGTACATTTGCAATCTCAGACTTATGGAAGCATGTTTCTGCCACTGAATAAAAAATAAAAAAAGTTAATTTCGACTTTTTATCTCACAATTCCGAATATACATCTCGCAATCTTGAGTATTTTCCAAGACTTGTGTGATATAAACCCGCAATTCTGACTTCTGACTGAGTTTATGTCTTGCAATTTTGACTTTTTTTCTCAGAACTGCGTGATATAAACTTGCAATGGTGAATTATAAAGTCAGAATTGCGGGATATAAACGTGCAAATGGAAGAATTTAAGTCAGAATTGCAAGATCTAAACTCACAATTGCAAGTCATAAAATTCAATTGCATTCTCACAATTCTGACTTTTTTCTTGCAATTCAGACTTTTCTTCCGCAATTGTGAGTTTATATATCGCAATTCTGACTTTTTCCCCCTCACAATTCTGATTTCTATTCTCAGAATTGGGAGACATAAACTCACCATTATGAGTTATAAAGTTAAATTCTATTGCGAGTTTATATGTCACAATTATAATTCACAATTGTAACTTTATATCCTGCGATTCTGACTTTATAACAAGCAATTGCAACTTTATATCTTGCAATTCTGACCAAAAAAAGTCAGCATTCTGAGTTTATATCATGCAATTCTGAGAAAAAAGTCAGAATTATGGGTAGCACTTTATTTTACAGTCCTGTTTCTCATGTACATACTATGTACTTGTAGTAATTACAATAACTAGGTAATAACTAGGTACTAACCCTGAACCTACCCCTAAACCTAACCCTAGTTACCTTATATTACCAGTACTTTCTTGGGTACGTACACTGTAAGTACATGTAAGTACACGTACAGTAAAATAAAGTGCAACTGAATTGTGAGATAAAAAGTCATGATTACTTTTTTATTTTGCATTCAGTGGAGGAAACAGGCTTCCATACTAAGTCATGTAGGAGTTTGCTTCAAAATAAAAAATTAGTCTCCGATGAATCGGGGAGCCTAAATGGAGAGCCAGGTCATGCAGTCTGTCATTGTTTTTGCCATGGATCTTTTTTGGGAAATCACACCATTGAGCACAGATTTTAATGCAAGATTGTGTACGTGTGGAAACACTCTTCTGATATCACCTGCACAGGCTGTTCAGTTACACAACGCAACAAATACACTCACACGCTCATTCATACCAGCACGCATTCACAAATACCATTTAAAATACAAATCAATGAATTATGTCATATTAAAGAAGAAAAAATATCTGGACTTCATCTGCCCAATTTGACCCCCAAAAAGTGATATTTACAATCACACTGTGACAGATCAACAAAGACCTACGTGGGTCTTTAAAATTACAAAAAGAACTTGTATTTATCAATTTTTCCTTTTACTTATTTCTTTTTTTCTTGTCTATTTTTTTGCGTAAAATTCACAGAGCATTAGTTGAACAGCAACGTATCGCCCTCAGAAGAGTATTTTCTCTAAAGTAAAGGACCTGTTATCGGCCAAAAGAAGTGCTATGTTGCAAGCAGAAAATAAATAAAAGTACAACAATAAAACAAAAAAATCAAATAAAAATAAAAATGAGACCAGGAGGAAAGTAACTGAGAAACTACGAGGAGAGTTTTTCCTCTGTTTTAGTTAAAGCTCATTTGCCCTGAGGGCATTTTTTTGTTTCTTTTTTCGTTTTTGTTATATACATCTTTTTTTGTCATTTTCTTTTAAGTTTATTCAGAGATGGGGTGAGTGCTCTCTGAGATCTCTGGCGGAGAGGCCTGTACATTTTTAAGTGCTTGGTAAAAATGAGAGGATCACTAGTAGTCTTCAGAACGCGTACACACACACATCCTTCTAAAAACGAATGAAAAATGACACTGAGGGAAACTGATGATGTCTGGGAAGGGTGGAGAGGTGCGGGGGACTCCCTGGTGTTGTTTCATCTTTTCTCTTTCCATTCTCCTTGTCTTGCTTCAAGTGAGGTAGAGTGGCTTATCCCTGCCTATCATACTGCCACTGCGAAACAATGAGAAACAAATGAGCGTTAATCAGGAAAACCTTAATGTCTTGCTTTAAAAAAGAAAACTCCAAAAGTTCTCCTGAGAAATTTTTTAGCAAAAAATAACAATTGTGTCATTATTCACTCGCCCTCATGACACTACACACCAAAATTCAAACCAATCCAATGAACAAAAATAAAGATATTAGGCAAAATGTCTGAGGTGCTTGTTTCCATACAACCAAAAAAGCCTCCTTGTTAATTAAGTTTTAATTTAATATATTTTTAATAAACTGTTTTTATTAATCAGAAATGCTTTTTGATTATTAATTAAACCATTAAAATGGAATCCGAAAAAAAAAACAAAAAAAAAAACAAAACAACAGAAAACTAAATTTGGTCAAAAAAAAATAAAACGTAATTCATACAGCCCTAAAAATTTATTTTTTGATAAACTTTTAATAAATTGTTGTTAAATTGTATTAATTTAGCCATTAAACAGAGTCCAGAAAAATTGCAACGGGGAAAAATGGAATCCAGAAAAATTAAAACAGAACAAAATAGAATTTGGAAAAAAAATTAAATGGATTACTGTAATCCATAACACTCATGCAGAGTACTCAAAGTTTTCTTAAGATCTCTCATATGACTTTAGAACACTGACTACAGACTTGGAATGACATGAGGGTGAACTAGTCTTTTAACTTTGTTATTGTATGTGTTTTTTATTTTTGCATTGCATTGTTATATTAAACAATAAATAATTAATGCCGCACAACTCTGAAACCACACACATGCTGCCTGCACATGCTCACCGAGTCCCCTGATACTATGACACACGTCTCATGGGACAAGCAGAGTTAACATCATAACAAACACACACACACACACTGTTTACCTGCAGTGGTTTCCGCCGCATTCCCGGTTGCAGTACTCGCTGTCCCAGTCGGGGTTCTGGCCCACTGGGTTCGGAGCTCCTGGAGACTGAGACTCCCCCACGCTCTTCTGATACTCGGACTGTAAGTGAGAGAATCCCTGAGAGAGAGAGAGAATACACACATATATTATCAGCCTTTTTTTTGCAAGAAACAAATGCAAGTATGCAAACATGAATGCTTCGCCAATGCAATGTAAGTGTGTGGCCCTGATTTACATACTTAACATACTAAACTGGTGCACTAAATTTTAAACAAATTCAAAAAAAGAAGTAAAGCATGCTAATTAAAAATTTTACTTACATTCTAAAATAATTCTAAGAAATAAACCTATAATTTGTTTCTCACTTCTTTTCAACAGTTGATAAAATGTTTTCTTTTATTGCTTCACTGCAGGAAGGTGCTAAACACTGATGGTGCTTTTGAAAATCAGACCTTTTCACTTCACACAACATCTTCTGATAAAGACAACACCTCCAAAACAACACATCCTCCACCCCAGTTCTCACTTCATCTCATTTCACCTCACACTGCATCCGCTAACTGCATGCTTAAGATGACCTGTCCTTTTACAACTTCATTTGGCAACACTTTCCCAACAAGATTCGTTCCTGCTAAAGTTCTGAACACCACTATTACTGTCTTAAACAAAAACCAGGAGGTATACACTGTTTCATTGGTTTTTCCAATAAAATACGTTTTTAATTGGAAAGTTCGGAATGAAAAACTACCATACTGTTTACTGCACACTGCATATATTTTTAAGAGCAGTATGCAATGATAAACATTTCTAGAGTTATATTCACTGCATACTGTGCATACTGCATTCAGTTGTTTTTTTTGGCACTATGCAACAATAAATGTTGTTGTTTTTTTTATTGTAAGATCAACTGTAGCATCGGCAAATGTTACTATGGCCATGTTTGGAATGGAGGATATGTTGTATATTGCATAAATAAATAAAAATTAAGAACAGTGTGCAATAATAATACATTGTTTTGTTTTTTGCACTATGCAACAATAAACATTTCTAGGGCTGTTTACAATGAAACACTAGAGTACTGTTTACTGCATACTGAAGAGTTTGCATTGTATACGGCTTATTTTAGTATGTGATGTACTATGCATTATGCAACAATAACAGTAAAGAGCCAGACAGTATTATGCAACCTCATGTTTAAATGAGCAAATGATGCCAATAATAATTTCAAGGAAAAAACATGTCATTTGCATTTAGAAAATCATATAAACGCTGGAAATGGAAGGTCAAGCTGATTGCATTGCCTTATGGGATCCAGTTGCACATTTTGGCAAATTTCTAGGCTCATAATTCAATGGCTGTGTGCCCCCTCATAAACACAAGCACGTGCTGCGTTTCCCAGCATGCAAACTAACCTGCTGTCCTGGGGGTGGGGAGTGCAGCGGAGCCTGGAGGCCCATCTGGTGAGAGATGATTGGCTGCGACTGGACCTGCTGCATGCGGATTGGCTGGTTGAGGAGGGAGCCCTGGTGCAGAGAGAGCTGCTGGTGGAGGGGAGGGCTGATCTGGAAGGATGCTGGAGGGGAGGCACTGAGTGCTGGCAGCATGGCAGAACGGGGCAGGCCGTGTCTGGGAGCCCCCACCGCGTAGCTCTGGAGGTCCGAGAGGGGGAAGGGGCTGGGGCCCAGGTACGGGGAGGAGGGCTGGGGCGGGACGCTGTACAGGGGGGCATTGGGACCCATCATGTGTGATGATGGCTGACTAGACTGGGCGCTTTTGCTCTCCACCGGGTCACTGTAGGTCTGACAGAGAGAAAGACAGAGAACATGCACATCATATTTATGCATGTTTATATAACTACTACTATATAACAGCAGCAGGTGCATGAGTTTAAACACTCTCAAACTTCACATTTCCCACCAATTCGTCTTCTGCTTTAGTCTCAAATACACTCTTCATCCACCCAACAAAAAAGTGCATAAAAAACGAATTCATGACCAAAATGATGCATCATCTTCTCAAGCTTTGAGATGTGAAAACAATGTGGATTTGATTTAATACTGTCATTAGGAACTGTCAGTAGAACAATATGAGTGAGAAATTGACATGAAGTATAGTCTTACACGGTAAAAAATGATTTTTCTAAGTTGTAAATAAAACAAAGATTATTAAGAAAATACAATTTTCAGTGTTTCTGCTTCACGTTTAATTATGTTACTTGACATTTATTTGTAAATAATTGTGAATTTTACTAACAATTTCTGAGAGAAAATTGTTTCTAAACACAATTTATTTTTTCAATATAGAATTGGCACAGACTCCAAAACTTGCTCACCTTTTCCAGCATGATTTGAGAAAACCATCTTTTACTTCAATGGAAATGAGACACAAGATCTCTTTACTCTCTTCGGCAAAATTAAGTCTCTTACTGTACTTCTCAGATAGTTCATCATATTCTCCTCCTTTTCAATGCATATTAACACATCAGTGTAAGCATATGCCAAAAACAGATTTTGATTAAATATTTAATTATATGCAATGAAGGACGGCATTTAAGAAAGGCATCTCATGCTGTGCTCAGATTTTCCAAGATCCAAATCTGCAAGATCTCAAAACGTTTCTCATCAAATTACTCATTCCCATCTATTTTTATTTCTCCTGATAAATTTCAAGAGAATAATTTAATTAAATGAATAATAAATGAGCATTGTCCTTGAGGAGGTTGTGCAACAAACTCATGAAACACGTGCAGGATCGTCAGTGTTTAGAGCAGCAGAACCACAGTGAGAGGGAAAACTATCAGCAATCGCACAAACACATCTCTCTGTGATTTGTCAAGCTGAGAGCATGCGCTTATGGCAGAGCATTGTTTCATTACTGTTTTACACAGGAGCATGCATCGCAAATGGCAATATGTATTTCAAATGCCAGTGCGTGATGGCCAGTCGCTCGTGTTCATCAGCTGTCACCATCATAACGCCTCGTATATATCGAGCAGAACATCTAAACTGATCGACATGAAAAGATCGAGGGACAAATCCGCGTCCGCAGAGAAAACAAACGAAACCCAAATGGGAAAGCGAGCACTATTTGAGCGAGTACATCTGCTTCTGACATTTTCAAACATCTCTCTTTAAATTAAACAAGTGGAGATTGTCCAGGTCCTGAATGTACATCCTCACACACCATATGAGCGGTTTACTCTTCATTTTCACCCAAAAAACAAAATTCTGTCAGCATTTACTCAGCTTCTTTCTTCTATTGAACACACTTTTTTTTTTTGAAGAATGTTGGTTGCTGGTACCCATTGACTTTCATAGTATGGAAAAAAATACTATGGAAGTCAATGGGTGCCAGAAACCATTTGGTCACATTCTTCAAAATATCTTCTTTTGAGTTCCAGATGAGACAGAAATTCATACAGGTTTGAAACAAGTCAAGGGTGAGTAAATAATGAAAGAAGTTTGATTTCTGGGTGAACTGTCCCTTCAAGTATCTCTGATATTCTTAACTAGATGAAATTATGACATATTATTCTGATTTTAAAAATATAATGTCCAAAAAATGTACTTTTCCACAAACATAAATTTATCTAAAACCTACTAGAATAGTAGCAGGTGCATGAGTTTAAACACTCACAAACTTCACATTTCCCACCCATTCTTCTTGTGCTTTAGTCTCAAATACACTCTTCATCCTGCCAACAAAAAAGTACATAAAAAACCTAATTTATGACTAAAAAGAGTTTTTTCATGAGTGTGCGTTTCAAGTTTTGAGCTGTGAAAACGATGTCGATTTGATCGTTTTTCTATCATATTTTCCTCCTTTTCAATGCATGAGAGTATTCAAACACATCAATCAAAGCATCTGGCAAAAACAGATTTTGACGAAATATTTAATTATACGCAATGAAGGACGAGAAAGGCGTTTAATAAAAGCCTCCGAGGTTGATGAATACTGTATTCACGGCTTAATCAGCGCTCTTGTTTTGGGCCAAGGAGCTCCGAGAGTGTGGTATGGAAAAGGAGGGAGAGTGTTTAGCATGAAAATGCAATTTGCGTTTTTCAAAAGAGAAACAATGAATGTAAAATTAGTGGTTTGAAATCGCTGCGTTTTATTATGCAGATGAACGTATGCGATGAAACGACAGATCGTGCTGATTTCTGCTCATTTGAATCTGTCAAACGGCTTTCGCGAATTAGCAGTCGATTTATGGATCGCGCAGGCGGTGCAATCTAATAGATTAAAACAACAGTTAGTGACCACAGAAACATAACAGAGATGAATATCACTGACACAATTATGTATAAGGTGTGAGCTAATGATGCTATTTTTGGGACTGTATACACGAGCGTGCCAACAGAATGAAGAATGAGCGTCTGAAGGATCTGTTCACACAGAAATGAAGAATCTGTCATCATTTATTGACTCTCATGTCACTCCAAACCTAAGAGGAGAATTGTTTTAAGAATCTTTACAAGGTTCTTTACTATGCAACATCAGTTGATAATCATCATATCTGTCACAGTGGTATTTTGGGATTATTTATATGGCATTCTTGGAATTTTTTTTTTTTAATTATTATATATATATATATATTGTCATTTTTATTGCTTTTTATATTTCTGTTTAGGTTTAATTTATATATATATTTCAGCTTTTGTCATTTTAATTTCAACTTTTTAAATTTTTTCTTTTTCTTTTAAATTTTATTTATTTTATTTCAATGAAAGAAAATAGGTTTTAATAGTTTTAATTTTTAAAAATAACAACACTGGTCTCAAAAAACAACAAACTTATCATAAAAGCTTTAAAATCTCAATATTTCTTATAAAGTCATATGATGGACTGACATGAAGGCGAGTAAATGATGACAAATTCATCATATTTTAGCTGAACTATCACTTTAAAACACATTAAAAACATTTTTATATTTTCAGATTTAATTTTAGTTTAAGTTTTAGCAATTTCATTATGTGCCATTTTTACAACTTTTTTATATTTCTACTTAGCTTAATTAATTTAAATACATTTTTATTTAGTTTATTTATTAAATTTTAGTTTTAGTAAAGTAGTTTTAGTCATTTTAATACTTAAACTTATTTTCAGCTAGTTGCCAATGCAACATATAAAAAAAAAAAATTTTTTTTTATTTATATTTCAGATTTAATTTAAGTTTAACTTTTAGTAATTTTAAGTGCTTTTGTCATTTTTTAATTTATATTATTTTATATACTTTTTATATTTCAGCTTTAATTTATATCTATTTTAATTGTAGTCATTTTAATACTTCAACGTATTTTCTGTTATTTGCTCAAATGCAACATTTCTTTAAGTTTTCATATAATATTTCATTAAATTTTATTTTAACAACAATATTTTAACATTATTAAACAACAATGGTGTTCAATAGTTTTAGCTTTAGTTGACAGTAACAACACTGGTCTCAAAAAACACCATACAAGTGTCATAAAAGTAGTCTATATGCTCTATATTTCTTATAAAGTCATATGATGGACTGACATGAAGAGTAAATTTTTTGTCTGATCTATTCACACAGAGCAGCAGTCTTGCATTGACGGCTCTTCCCATGAGATTGTGCTGAGATCTTTAGTCTAATGTTGACCCCTCAACATCAGCGCTGACCTACAGATATCACAGACGTGAACCTGTCCGTTACCTTGGAAACCAGGCTTGCTCGGTACGCTGCCAGGGCCTTCAGGTACTCCTTCTTTGCTGCTTCTGTTTTCCGTTTGTATGCCTGCAAGGAGACGAAACACAACTATGAATAATCATACAGACACACAGACACAGACACAGACACAGACACACACACACACACACACACACACACACACACACACACACACACGTAATGCGAGAATATGAAGAATTAACCTTCGCTTTGCACCTGTCATGTCAACAACTTTCAACCCCATGCATCTGAAACATACACGCTAATTTAGCCTAAACTTACTATCTAAAATCTAGTCCAGTCTCTTTCAGGTCTTTAATGTCTCAGTGGAGAAAAAAAGTTGAAAAAAAATAAATAAAAAATACACAGCAAAAAACATTTCTTGCTCAGTGATTTTGTCTTATTTTCTAGTATAAATCAGTGTTATTTTAGTATTATTTAGATATTATTATAGCTTTTATTAATATTTTAAATATTTTTATTTTCTGTTTTAATTTTAGTTGAAGTTTAGTAATTTTCTTGTTTTATTAATTTTTTTTTGCATTTTTAAAAATATATATCTATATAGTTTTTATTAATTTTTCATTTCAGTTTTACTTTTAGTTATTTTAGTACATCAAGGTAAACTCAATTAAAATGACAAATGTTGCATTTTGCATTGAAATACATTTATTTTATATATTTTTTTATTTTAGTTAAAGTTTGTTTTATTTCAAGTCATCATTCAGATATTGTCTTGTTTTCTGAAAAATGTCTCAAAATTAAGTGAGTTTAAACCTAAAATAAGAAAAAATATCTGACAATGTGCTCAAAACTAACAAAAATTTGAATTAAGTTATAATTTCTGAACCCACTGATAGATATGTTTTCCCTGTTTTAAGCATAAATACTAAATAAGAAAATATATTTTTTTACAATGTATTGCATGTTGCATATTGCATGCATATTGCATTTTAGTAATTTTATTATGTGCTTTTGTCATGTTGCTATTAGTTTTTTTATATATTTAATTTAATTTGCATCTATTTCAGTTTTAGTTTTAGTCATGTTAACACTTTTATTTCAGTTGACCCCACAGATATTTTTTCTTGTTTTAAGCATAAATACTGAGTAAGAAAATCAATTTTTTATTTTTTTTTACAATGCATGTCGCTGTATATTGCATGTGAATGTAAATGCAGTTGTCATAATGCAAGTAAATGAACTACATATTTCAAACAAAATCATATGTATGTGTATCATATTGAGGAGTCCATTAGAAAACCAGAGAGCTTTCTAAGTCTACATCCCACATTAAAGAAATGGCACAAAAGAAAAGGAAAGAAAAGGCTGGGGGACTGAATTTACATGCAAACAAAGTAAATGCAATGCAATGCAGGCTAATGTAATTGCTTGTCAATCATTTCACCATTCTAGAATTAAGGTTTCCATTTCTTTTTGGCAACAAGTGCAGCCAATTCCCTGTGAAACTGGGACGGACATCAGAATGATTTCAGCTGATGAGGGGAAACACGCTTTAAAATGGTGACAAAATACGTCACGCTGCTTCCAGACACATCCAGAAGACAACGTTAAATCACAAGCAGAGAAACTGACTTCACAAGATGAATATGGCTGCGGTCCCACAGGAAAGAAAAAACACAAATGAGATCTCCCGAATATCTCAATTCTGTCTGCGAGACAGCAATGAGATTATATGGAGTGCAAGCGCTTTCTTAAAATAAGAGCCGGAAATCTCACATGTGTCTCTACAGTTTACGACACTTCTACTTTCAGTGTAATTTAAATAATATAGCCATTTTTTCACATTACAGTAAGGGGAATTTAGGGGGAAATGTGCCACATTTTCATGATAATAATGTCACAATGCAAAAAAAAAATACAAAAGTTAATCTTTATTTAAAACACAATTTTTCAAAAAATTAAATATAAATGTGAAGATCATCTGGAATATATCTGGACATGATCTTGAGATTCACAGGCAAAAAATAAAATTATAAAAATGATCAAACAATATAAAAAAATATTATACAGTAACATAATATAAAATAAAATAAAATACAAAAACTATAAAAGACACAATAACTTGTTTGTGCATCTATCTAGAAGTGACAAATTATTATAAAATACTGTAATATTAAAATAATATGATACCGTAATAAAATATAAAATAAAATAATATAAAAGATACAAAAACTTGTTTGTATATCTATCTAGAAAGAGAAAAATAATTATAAAATACTGTAATATTAAAATAAAATAATAATAATAATAAAATAAAACAAAATAAAAAATAGAATAAAATTAAATATAAAAGACACAAGAACCTGTTAGTGAAGCGGTTATGACTGGAGCGCTAAAGCTGCTCTAATCAGTAAATAATTATGAACTTCTACACCTACAGCAGGAACGACACGTTAAATAAAACACGCACATGTTCATACAACACTCACAGCAAGCAAACACACAGATGGATTGAGAATACAAACACAATCTGGCCTCAAAACCAAGCAACTGTTTAACGCCCTCATCAGCAGTAGATCTAGTTGAAACGCTGGTTTTAAAGGAACACTACTTTGTTTTGTCAAATTGAAACGGTTTGTTCACTAAATGTAAAATGCTTCATTCTGTATCATTTATTCATGCTGCAATGCATGCTGGGAACTCATGAACTTTTAACACCTCAGCAATATTGCTGAATATAAAATTCTTTGCTTAGACAACTATTGGCTGATTCTTTTGCATTTACAAGTAATTCCTATTTTTTAGTATTAGTGACACAAAAGTTACATAAATAAAATTAAATAATAAAATAAATGTTTTAGTCTAGGATTTACTTCAAAAATGTACTCAGAAATTGCTAGTAAAATTCACAAATTGTTCAATTTTAAAAATAAAACGGCACAATAAAACAGCAAATAAAATAAAATTAAAATTAAATTAAAAATTAAATTAAAAATATAATATAATAAGTGTTTAGAGTAAGATTTACTTTTAAAAAATTCACTCAGAAATTGTAAATTTTACAATTACAATACAACAGCAAATGACAAAATAAAAAAACCCTACATAAAGTAAAAAATAAAATAAAAATAAATAAAATAAGTGTTTACTGTAGGATTTACTTAAAAGAATTCACTCAGAAATTGATAGTACATTTGACAATTTTTTTTTACAATAAAACAGCAAATAACACAAAACAAAAAATGTATAAAAAACAATACAAATAAAATAAAATAGAATAAAATAAAAAATGTAGCTTGTAGCCGTAGCTTCGTCTAGTTCTTATAGTTTCTTATTTTATAGTTGATTTGTGAGTGTAAATTTCAGGTTTTTAATTATGACTGTAACTGTGGATCCGCCGGCACGCTTGAACCTTCACCGAGAAGTAGATTTTCACCCAACATTTAATCAACACAACAAAAATAACAGACCCTAAACATGAACAGCTTCAGCGGACGCGAGTCAGTGACCTTGCGCGGCGATGGTTAAATATTGAACGAGGTGGCGTCGCTTTTTGTAATAATGAACTCCCGAGGAGCTCTAAAATAAAATAAAATTAAATAAAATTAAATAAAATTAAATAAAAAATAACTATTTTAGTGTAGGATTTATTGTGAAAAAGGTTTGCCATTTAATTAAAATTAAATTTAAATAATGTTACCCTAGCTTCCCTTGATTATGAGCATTCTCTCTCTCTCTCTCTCTCTCTCTCTCTCTCTCTCTCTCTCTCTATATATATATATATATATATATATATATATATATATAAATGGTATAGGATTTACTTTGAAACATTTTCATAAATAAAATGGCAAGTAACACATTGAATTAAATGTGAAATTATGAAATAGAATTAAATCTTATTTTCTTCTTTCTACTCCAATATTTTATTTACAACTTGCGTAAATCATTTTTACAGCCTTCTAAAACATGAATAGCATAGGAACCATGCCCTACTGACTCACATCTAGCACATTCACATTGGCCAAACAGAGTTCTGAAGCAGCCTAATGCACACATGCTGTCTAGGTCTCACTAGGGATTGAAACAGAGCCAAACGTTCACTGAAAGCTGCTACATTCGATCCTGCAGAACTTTCTACACTTCTAGTTGGGCCGAACATCAGTAGCAGGTGATGATCTCAGCGAAAGATGACATAACCAGCGCTAATCAGTGAATTAAACGTGCCTCGGGGACATGCGTCCTCATGACCTCATACAGAACAGATGTGTGCGGAGGTGAGTCACGAAGGAACAATCACAACTCTCTCCAGAATGAGAGAAAAAGTCACCTTGTTATCCCAGATAAATAAACACAACAAACAGATGCCAAGGACAAGCCTTATTATGCTAGGAAACAAACCAAACGGAGCCTAGACGTTCTGAGTTTTCCAGCCGCCGAAGGGTTAAAATGCACAAACAATAACATTTCGGAGAGCAGATGTCCTTGAGGGGAACTGAAGGGCGCCGGGTGATGGCTAATCTCGTATTCTCAGCATGATCGAATCACCAGGCAACAGATATAAATAAAAAGAGCCCGAGAAATGAGGAATTCACATTCAAGGGTGTCAGCGGCAAAATGAAGATTCATGGTGAAGAGGAGAGAGTGAAGGAGGCAAAAATTAACTGCAAATAAAAGGACACAGCAGCTCTCAGAAGAAGAAAAAAGGCGAGCGAGCGAGCGGGAGAAATATCAGCCGGTGAGGGTGAACACACCGCACTCTGTCACCGAGGCAGGTGCTCTTATTTGACATACAATAGCAGCCGTGTGTTATAGAGGATATGCTAAAAATACAGCAGCCCTCACACACACACACACACACACACACACACTTCAGTCGAGCTTACTGTATACAAAGCTCATTACTGACACAAACACACACACTTACACACATATGTTCCCATGCACATCAATACAAACTAAAGAATCACTCAACACAAATCAACTGACTGCAGAACAATCTATCTATAGATACTACCATTCAGATGTTTGAGGAGAAAAAAACACTTTTATTCAGCAACGATGCATTAATTTAATCAAAACCATCAATCTATCTATCCATCCATCCACCCATTCACTTCAGCCATAATTTCATACATCCATTCCATCTACTCCATCCTTTCATCCATTAACCATCCATCCACCCATCTTTTCATCCATCCATCGTTTCATCCATCCATACATCCTTTCATCCATCCACCCATTCAGTCATCCATCTATCCACCCATCCACCCATCCATCTATCCTTTCATCCATCCATCTATCCATTCACCCACCCATTCATCCATCTTTTCATCCATCCATCCCATCCATCCATCCATCCACCAAATACATCCATGGTTTTGTTTTTGTTTCACTCTACAGTACAAACATCTCAGACAAAGCTGGTACTTTAATGAAATACTGTACAACTAAAACTCCTGAGCAATAAAAGAACAGCTTCTGAGCTACAAAACGCTGTTCTGAATAGGGTTGCAAAGGGGTGGAACATTTTCGGTAGATTTCCGGGAAACGTTCCAACAATCCCTGGAATATTCCAAAAAATCCTGGAAAGTTTATTTTTGCAACCCTAGTTCTGAATCTACTCACTTGTTTCTGTTCCTCTCCCAGACTGTCCCACATGGAGGCCACGATCTTGGAGACGTCTCCGAAGGTGGCGTTGGGGTTCTGCCCCTTGATGGCGGCTTGAGTGTCCCTGAAGAAGAGTGCGTAGGCTGAGACGGGCTTCTGCGGCTCGTTGGGGTCCTTCTTCTTCTTCTTCTTCTGAGGTTTGGGCTTGGGCTTCATCATGTCAGAGGAGGGTCGCTTCTCTCCTGTGATCTGAAGGCGAAGAGAGAAATTAAATGAGTGAAGATGCATTTATTTGCCACAACCAGACATGCAATTCAGCAAATACAGTTCACTGCTGCATTCAGACATTGTGACTACAAATCAATGCTGGAAGTCATTCTAGTTCAGTTTGAAGAGCAGAGTATGAAAATGAAATGAAATATTTCATGCATGTGCAGTTTGTTGATATCTAAAGTTTCTTCGAGTGCATCTACACTCACAGCCTGTGTCTCCCAACATGCACTGCTGTTCCAGTCATACTGTATGCGTGTTTGGCTATGCAAATGCGGGGTGTCTTTTATCTGCAAACATCATGAAATAAAAATGGGATGCACTGAATTCCAGAATGCTTTCAGTCAAGCGACAGCGCCGTAATCTGCTCTGACAGCTCATGGACTCTCTTCAGAGCTCTGAAACATTGCGACTGAAATTGATTTCTTAATGCAGAGAGTCCAGCAGACGTTGTTAATATCCCATTTGAATCAGTGCTGCATCATCTCATGTCTGACTAATACACATTTCTTAATTTAAAACCGCTGTGCATTTAAAATTAAGAAACACAATTGCATTATTTAAATGAGGATATAAACAGAGATAGAGAGAGAGGTGGTAAGAAACAGAGGAACAATACCACTTTGTTAAAGCAAACGAGTGAAAGAGGTTTCTAGGGCAGAACTTGATGGTTAGATAACATCATTCTCTCATCAGCATTTTCAATGTAGCAAAAGAAACAAAAATAATTTGAAGAGATGTAATGTAGCATGAAAGGCTGGCTGATGCTCCATTAAAACAGGCCGCTGTATAATCTCCATACACGTCTGACTTTACATGTGATTTACATGATGATCACATAAAACAACACTGGTGTCATTAACTAGAATCAAAATGAGTTGTAAAGTCAACATGAAATTAAAATCAATCAACTTACTTTCTTAAATTATGTGGTTTTGACCAGGATTATAGTTAACTAAAACTAACGCTGAAATTAAAACCATACATTTTTTTTTACAAAATTGTAACATGAAAAAAAATACATTATATATATATATATATATATATATATATATATAATAACAAAATTTCTCATTTTAAATTAATTTAACATTACAGTATGTACTAAAATAACTAAAACTAAAACGGAATTAAAAATTTATAAAATCTATATAAAAGCTACTAAAAATGACAAAAACATACAACAAAACTATATAATATATTTTAAAATATATAATAAAAATGTATTATAAAGATATACATATTACAATTGGACATTTGTTGCATTTACCTTATATCATTAAGGTACTAAAAGTGAACAAAATAAATAAATACATTTAAAATTCACAGACTTTCTCTTTTGGGAAAATGGACCAAAATGGACATCATTATGTTTATAGGGGCTTATCCAAATGTTATTTCAATAAAATTTTCTACAGAATAAGACCGAATTTCCAAATGGAAATAAATCAACACAGAAACTAAACTTGTAGATGTCCAAAATGAAGCTGTCAGTGTGAATTAATCAAATTTCATACTAAAAATGTTCATTTGACTGGAGCATACTGTATGTGCCTCTCAAATCTGTCATGAGATGTGTGCACCAAAATGCAGTGAGGTTTTCATTTGAATCCAAACATATGTTAACTATGTAGTATAGTGCAATGCCTGTTCTTAACTGACTGTGATGGAAATAAACCTCAGAAGAAGATAATTCATGTCAATGCTGCTACAGCGCCACTTGGGGCAGCACTGAGAATGGAATGTTTGCTCTTTATTGTGTTGTTTTGTGTTTGATATGAAATCAAGTTTGCATGCATTACAGTGACTAGTATGTGCATGACTTGTATGTATGTTTTCCACATGCGCACACACGTCGCCTATATGTGCACAGCTGTATATTTACAAACTAAAGGATTCAATTAATGCATGCAAAAGCACATGTTCACATGCATGAATGCATATACACACAGACGCACACACAAGGTAAAAAGCAGCACATGCACTTTGGAAACTGACTGGAATCCAGCCATTAAATGCTTTGGATTTATATACATTGAATTTAATCAAGCGCAAACAAACTCATATGCCATCCTTGAGTGCACGGCACATTCCAGAGGAAAATGAAACGCAGGATGGATGTGTTTGTGCCGGTGTCACAGAGTTTAAATGCATTAGCGTGCATTTGTACGTGTCAATGAGCAGAATTGTGTTTGCAAGCATTTCCTGCAAAGGAAATACCGACGGGAATGAAATGCGCTAATTGTTCCCGTTGTCCAGACGGCATTATTATTAAAATCCACCAGGATTTCAGGCTGACTGAAACACTTCTTACACTATTTTGACTGGCTTTTTAAATCTACCCGGACCAGGTATAAATGCACCGGCCTTTGCACTGTATTAGGCCGGACTCTTCCACAAGCCCGCTGAAGAACAATGTAATTTAAACATCATGTAAGTTAATTCACTCTTTGTGTTCTCCAATCCAATTAAGCATGCAGCGTCGCGATAATGAGGGATTTCGAGCTGCCTTGTGCATTACATGCAACATTCAAATTAAATTCAAACTGACACTTCCAATAAAAGGAGAGGATGACGGACAAGCAGGAGTAATTGGTTTTCTGGGACAATGAAAATGAAAAGAGGGCTAGAGAGGGAGAGCGAGAGAGAGAGAAACAGAGTAATGTTTTTGCCAACAAATCACAGTGAACAAAAGACGTCAAGATGTGAAGTTAAAATGCCGAGATTTGTAAACACTATTGAGACACACGGAAAATCGTTTGCTTTTAAATAAAGAGGGGAAATTATTCTCAAAGCTCTCAAAGTCTGCCGTTTATGCTCCTCTATAGAGTGCAGCAGACGGATTACGGAAGTAAAAATCACATTAATTCTTTTCCATAGAGGAACAGATTTTTAACGATAACGTATAAACCTTTCGAGACAGATCTGCCATGAGATCTGAGGTAATTCACTGATGATATATGATCCTGTAGCCAATGTGAATTTAACTTTGCTTGCGTTTAATAGCCAAATTCCTGCCAATCAGAGAAGCCTCAGTTACCATGGAAATGGCGAAAAGTGACGAAAGAGCTACTATATATAGATTGAAGTCTCTTCTGCTCACCAAGGCTGCATTTTTTTGATCAAAAATACAGTAAAATTCTAAAATATTTTTACAATTTGAAATAACTGTTTTCTATGTGAATATCTGTTAAAATGTAATTTATTGCTGTGATCAAAGCTGTATTTTCAGCATCATTCCTCCAGTCTTCAGTGTCACATGATCTTCAGAAATCATTCGAATATGCTGATTTACTGCTCAAGAAACATTTCTGATTATTATCAGTGTTGAAAATAGTTGTGCTGCTTCATATTTGTGTGCAAACGGTGATACATTTTATTTTTCAGGATTCACAGATGAATAGAAAGCTCAAAAGAACAGCATTTATTTGAAATAGAAATCTTGTCTAACATTATGAATGGCTTTACTGTCATTTTTGATTAATTGAATGCATCCTTGCTGAATAAAAGTAGTAATGTCTTTTTAAAAAATAGTGTAAATCTTACAATCGTTGATGAAAAAGTCACTAATGCTTTACAACACGTTTCGATATGTAATCGCTAACATGAAGTAACAATACTTTTACAGCATGCTAATCATGGTTAATGTTAATTTCCACATATACTAATACCTTTCAAGTTATATAAATTGATATTGGTTAATATATTATGAACAAACATGAATTAACAATTTAGAACGATATTATATTTATAAATTGAAAGAAAGGCTGTAAAAGTGTTGTTAGTTCATGCAACCTAATGCATTAACAAATGCTCCTGTAAAGTATAATCAAGATCTCTCTATTGCGCCAACGTGCATTTTCATGCTGAACGGCCTGTAAAACGCCAGCGCTTTGTTGTTCTCGTTCTTGTACCTTTGAGTGGTACTTTGCATCCTCTTCCTGGGCGGAGCTTGAGGGGGAGGGCGTGGCTGACTGACTTCCTGACGATGATGGGGAACCGTGTGTAAAGGAGCCTTGGCCAATCTGAGAGCTGAGCTGGGACAGGGCGCTCATGGGGTGGGGCAGTATCCGGGCAGATGGGTTTAGCATGGGGCTGTGGTGGGCGCGGGGGTAATGACCGCCCAATTGCCCTGCAAACATCGGCATCTAGGGTGAGAGAAGAAGACCAGACTTTACTCGGAGGAATTTTGAAAAGAAATAACCAATTGAGGCCGATCTACAAAGACACTAGCTTCTTCCCTCACCCTTTGAAGCGGCCGTCTGATTATCGTTGGCTAGTTTAGTTAATTTTAGGTATAATGACTTTTGCACTACAAAGCGGATCTCTTATCAGCTGATATACGTTCACACAAACACGTACTGTACAACGCTGTGCCAAAATCGCAATGCATCTGAACCCTGGGGTTTTGAAAGTGTCCTTTATAGTTTCAACCTGACTTATATCATAAACAGATTAGAGAGAGATCTAGATAGATAAGCGTCATTTACAGTAAGTCATCAACCACACTCCTCTCAGCATGAATTTCAAAGCTACTTCAGAAAGCCACAACGCCATTGGTGCTCAATCCGGAAGAATCCCAGAGCAACCACAATAGTGACTTGACAACTAAAAACAACAGTAAGAATTCACCACATGAGACCTTCACATGAGTAAATAAATCATATATGCAGAAACAGTTCATGTAAATCACCATATATAAAGCAAATACCACTTCAGAAGGGACATCGCTAAGAATGAACTGTGGCCAAAATGCAGTTTGCACAGGGCGGAGAGAGAGAGAGAGAGAGAGAGAGACAGAGACAGAGAGAGAGAGAGAGAGCGAGAGAGAGAGTGACAGAGAGAGAGAGAGCGAGAGAGAGAGTGACAGAGAGAGAGAGAGCGAGAGAGAGAGTGACAGAGAGAGAGAGAGAGCGAGACGGCCAGTGAAGCCAATGGGCTCATTGAGTAAATTTTCATATTACGGACGAATTCTGTGA